CTTACACTTCACTGTCCATAACCCAGGGAAAACTAGGTAAGAACTCAAGGGGCTTGAAGCAGAAACTGCAGAGGAACATTGCTTACTGGTTTGCTCCCATAGCTTGCTCAGCTACCTTTCCTATATGGCCCAGGCTCACCTTCCCAGGAATAGCCCTGCCCACATTGGTTTGGGCCCTCATACATCAATTAGCAACCAGGAAAATGCTCCACAGACATGCTCACAGGCCAGTGTGATGAAAGAAATTACTCAGTTGAGGGGCCCTCTTCCCAGATGACTCTAGTTTATGTCAAGTTGAAAAAAAAATTACCAATACAGTAAGTACTGGATACTATGGATTAGAGCATTAAAATCTGTCCTGTCTTGCTCCCTCAAGGGCCCTATGTATAGTAGTTAGAGCTGAAATACCTGATGTTATGGTTTACAGAGTCACCAGTGACCATCTTAAGGTAAGATGCAATAGTTTTCTATATTCCCCTTACTAAATTCAGTTTTAATAACCAATGCCCAACTAATTGAACATCTATACAATAGATATTCTCCTTGTATATTTGTTATTGGGCGTGTAGGTCCATAAGTTCATTACTTCAGTTTTTGCTGTGTTCCAAAGAAATTAGAACACAAAATGTTTTAAAAATGGATTTATTTACAGTTTGATCTAACCACAGGTAAGGGGCAGAAGTCTACTTTTCTACCTACCGTGCCTGCAACCGTCTTACAGTTTATAAAACCCATGAGCCATAGGCTAGAACAATGTGTAAATTTCACTGTAGAAAGGCTAATTGTCGAGGCTGGAGAGATGGCTCAGTGCTTAAGGGCACTGGCTGCTCTTGCAGGGGACCTAGGTTTGATTCCCAGAAGCCACAAGGCAGCTAACAACCATCTGTACAACATAGCTGTATTTACCTACATGCAGGTAATACATTCATACACATAAACTTTTAAAAATAAGTTAAATAAATTAAATTAAAAGCTAATTGTCCTTTCTTGTGTGGAAATGACCTGGGCCCACAGTTACTTCAGTTTTCTATCAAAGTCAAATTTTTAATCAAGTCTGGGCCTGCTCTTAAAGATTTTCTATTTCTTAAAGAGAAAAGCATCTTACTTTTTTGGAGATTTTTTAATTGAATTTTTGAGATTTTCATGCAGTGCATTTTGATGGCATTTAGATCCCCTCCATCAGCTGCATAAGGAAATGTCTCTGGTGAGAGTTTAGAGATGCATTCATCATATGTATAGAGGATTCTTTCAAGGCTCTCATCTGACTTTTTGAGGGATATAAAATCTTTACCTATTTTTTCTCCCACAGTGTTCATTGTTCCCAGGTCCATTCCTTTGACAGGGATAAAGAAAAAGCTTCTACGTCTTCTCTTTGGAGGTCAACTGCATGTTCCAGATTTTCTCATGGCTCTTAAACACAGTGGTTTTTTTAATGAATAAAAGGTGATGGTCTGATAACTGAAGCAAGAGGCCTACTCTCTCTCTTCTTCCTGCAGGGCTTCAGCATGTGACCATGGCTAAATACTCACTATAGGTACTTTCCACACTAGAAATAGCATAGAAAAACAATGAGGAAAAAAAATGCAGCACAAACCTCAGTCGGTCCTACTGAGAAAGTATCTTGAAAAGAAAGTAAAAGTTGGGGCTTGGGATGCAGCTCAGTTCATGAGGCCTACTCTCTCTCTTCTTCCTGCAGGGCTTCAGCATGTGACCATGGCTAAATACTCACTATAGGTACTTTCCACACTAGAAATAGCATAGAAAAACAATGAGGAAAAAAAATGCAGCACAAACCTCAGTCAGTCCTACTGAGAAAGTATCTTCAAAAGAAAGTAAAAGTTGGGGCTTGGGATGCAGCTCAGTTCACAGAGGGTTTGCCTAGCATGTGTAAAGCCCTGGGTTTGAAATGCAGCACCACATAATTTCAGCGTGATGGTGCTTCCTTATAATCCCCGTTCTTGGGGGGTAAAAGCAGGAGCATTAGAAGATTCAGAGCATCCTTGGCTACATAAGGGTTTGAGGAATTCCTGGTCAGCCTGATCCAAGTGAGATCCTGTCTCAAAACAAAAAACAAAACAAAACAAAACAAAACAAAAAAAGAGTTGAAGTCTTTTTAAAGTACAAAATATTCTGCCAAATATGTAACACCTAAAATAATCAAGGTAAGAAAGTTAGAAACCCCTATTACCAGACATGGTTTATTTTAGCAAAACTTAAAGTAATTTTCTATATCAACTTAGAAAGTAATCTGATATCAAAATATGTAGTTTATATTAAAGCCTTTGTTGTTAATATTTAATATAATTTACTAGTGAATATAATATTTATTGGAATTACAGGGGTAGTTATAAATATCACAATATTTGTAATTACAAAGATCACGCAATGTTTAAATTGTTGTTTTAGCACTGAGAAGCTACTGTTTCATATTCCAAAGCTACAATTCTGTCCTCAATGCAAGTCTTCCTGTCCTTTGCTGAGTGGTGATCCTGAAACGATAAGCTCAGAGCAAAACGATTAAATCTGCTTTTGACTTCATTAGCCTAAATCCAGTTAGCCATCTGTCACTGGCTAAGGATCAAGGGAGACCAAGGTTGTAGACATGTGGTTCACTAACTTTCTTCCATCCTGTCGGTCATAGACTAAAATAAAAACAAAAGAAAGGAATTGCAGATCTAGTGGGCTACCCAGTGAAGGCTTTATGGAGTGGCCTATCATAGAGGAAATGAGCAAACAAAATGTAAGAACTGAAGAAATAAAGGCAGAAGAAAAGCAAAAGCTGTGGATGAATCTTTTTGTCCCTTCAAAAATTCATTTTAGATCTTAATCTCCAGTCCAGTGATGTGGGGAACTGGACTTAATAGGATTTCTTTAGGTCACTGAAGGTTCCCTCCTCATAAATGAATTGATGTTACTACAAAAAGAGCTCATGAGAATGGATTCCCCTATTTTGCATTTCTTCATTGTGAAGATGTATTCAGTCAACTTCATCCTATGCCAAAGTCTTGATCTTAGAGAAATAAAGTTCTTTATAAATTGCTTCACCTGCGATAGTCTGATACTACAACTCAAAAAAGACTAAGGCAACAAGAAAACATTTCTTGTCCATAATAGTTGGGGGTAGAAAAGAGTAGCTTCAATGAACCTGAGATTTCATTCAGCCATAAGCTCCCCACGTGCCATGCCAGAAAGACGAGACTCAGGGAGACAAAGCTTCCTGTGTGCGGCACAAGGGATCTGTCTACATCACCTTGATGTTTATAAAAGGACCGAATCTCCTCTCTTGCCCCATTCTGTACCTTATATTCTACTCAAAGTGGACAGAAGACCATAATCTGTGGAGGTTCTGCTATTCATTTCCAACAAAAGAAAAAGTGAAATAAACAAAACTCCTTAAAACTGCAGTGACGTGATGAAGAAGTGAGTATTCGAGTGGACAGGAAGAACTGCCTGGAAAATGTACCCTGGACAGGGACATGAAGTAACTACGGGAAGCCCCCACCTGAGAAGACTTTGGGGCCAAGTTAAATTGTGCTTGTAGAACTTCCTCCTCCTTAATGCTAATCAAATTAAACTTAGAATAAATAGATTTAAAAACCAACCACTATCATACTATGACTCTTCAAAGATTTTTCCCATTTCCCTTTTCTTCTCATGGTCTAAAAACTGGACAAGCACACATCTTCTCTTGCTAAGAATACTTTGTACTGACATTTCCCTGATGAAATCTTTGACAAACTACCCACCTGGAATGCTTGACCTCTTGCTTTGGTCTGAGCTTTCTGTATAATGGAACAAATCTCTAATTGTTTAGCTCCTCCCTAAAGAAAAAATGAATTCTTGGCATGTTTTTGTTTTGTCTATTAAAATTTCAGCTGCAGAGTGGCCAGTGGCACACTGCTCTGAACTATCTACATTACTGACTGACTGAGTTTTGTGTTGCCTGCTCTATCCCAGCTGAGGACATGTTTCACACAAAATGATCAAAGAGCTAAATCATGGTCCTTTCTGCCATGTGTCCTTGACCTTCTGATCTGTGGATCTGGTCTGCATTAGGTCTTCAACCTCTCTACACTACATATCTCTATCCTGTTCAACATAACCATATCCACATAAAGAGCATTAAAGCCTATAAAAGAACCATGAACAGTCACATGGCTTGGGGCTCTCTCTCCACATCTCTGCATTTTTCCTTGACTTATTCCTACTTCAGGAGAGTCCTCAGCTGGATCCAAACTTCAACCATATCCTCTGTGACCCTGGTTGAGAATGGGATGGTTAGCTTTCTTCTCCCCCTTGACGAATTTCCTGTCCAGCTGAGAGAGATGAAGTCAGTCTCCACCTCTTCCAGAGCGACTGCATAGGTGTTTAGCATTGCAAAAGCACTGTAAAGACACCATTAATATGAATGATAAAATCTTCAAGCTCTTATTACAACCATTCCCTCTGATGTACCTTTCCTGTTGAGGGATTGGGAAGGTTTTCTCCCTAATTAACATCTACTGTGCTTTCCCTTGCTTCCCTGGCTACCTAGGAGAAAAGGACTATCAGTCAAACAGTCATACAGACAAACCTGATCTCCTCATTGCCTGTTTTGAATACTCTACAGATGCTTTGAGAAAATTATGCAACAGTCAGAACTCACTGCTCCTGAAGTTGCAGCCTTGGCTAGGCTTCTTCAAACACTTTCTAACCAGACTTTTTGTCTGTCATAAATCTTGGGAAACTCTAAATGACACCACAGCCATTGCTCCCTGTGCCAGAGGGGCAGAATGCCTGTGTTGCCTAGCAGAAAGTCTGCTCTAACTGCGGCAAATGTAAACCTTCGTATCTGTGTGAGGTGTACTGTAAATAATCCAGACTTTCTTCTCCTACTACACAAGCAGGCTGTTCAGGCTTACTGAGTGAATGGGAAGAAGGGCTCAGTGTCTCTTTTAAGTGGAACAACATTAGACTCAATAAAAAAGCTTCTCTCAAGCTTCTTTTCTTGCCCACTTTAGGAAGTGAGGGCGGAGCTGGTTGTATAAAGAAAGAGGCAGCAGAAGCTGCAGCACAGAGGCAGTGGCACGGGAAATGGTGTGGCAGTGACAACATCTGGGCTGACAGCAGACCAAACTGTCAACGGGCAAGGCTGCTGGCTGCTAGACAACTGAACAAGAGACAACAAAAGCTTGAGAGTGACCAGGGCGGGAACCTGGGGGATGACGGAAGTAGAAAGGACAGCTAAGCAGAGGATGAAAAACAGAAAGGTATAAAGAGACAGAGAAGAGAAAATGCCCACCCTGGTCATTGGAAGTATTCCAAAGAGCTGCCCAGTCTTTAGATCCATGGGACCTTGCTACTGCAGACCTATAAATTTTAACACTATCAAGGTAAGGCAACTATCAAGGTCTGCAGAATCCCAGTACCTAGGACTACCCTGAAGTTGCAGTGCCAGGCTAAGAAATAGTGACTTCATAAGCTTTTAAGAGTCAAAACACTTAAAGACCTGAGATCTTAGTCCTCTAGGTTTACACAAGAGCTGAAACTTGTAGAAGGTTCTAGATATCCAAGACCTGCTGGAAAGCTACATCACCACAAGACACCACTTGATGCTGCTCCTTGTTGCCTGGCTGCCACTCACTACTGTCAAATACAGGGAGATGCAAAAGCTGCTGGAGACCAGATTTTGCAAAGCATCTAATATAATCCTGATTTTCATTCAGGTAAGTCATGAACCCCAGCCAACTGAATGAGAACTCAGCAAGGGCATTATCTTGCTTGCACATCAGCTGGGAGGCAACCACACCTCCCAATGCCTGGTACCCTTTGTTCCATGTCTCAGGATTATACTAGTCCAGAATCCATACCTTCTCTTTCACAAAAAAACTACACAAAAAAACTTCACAAAAAAACTACAAATGTTATTCCAAGTACTGAGGCTACCAGAAGTTCACAGCTATTCCACAGCTTTCTAGGCTTCCTTGTGCTCTTTACATAATCCTGTTATCTGCTAAATTTATCCATCAGTAATGTAGAAAGCCTAAGGTATCATTATCTTTATCACTGAAGGAGGACAGCTTAGTTATATGCCAGAAAGGAGTCAAATATAAATTCCTGTCTACTTACTTGAGTTTGTGTTCACATGCAATGACATCATCTAGAAAGTCACTGCTTGGGAAAACTCTAAACAAATGAATGCAGGAGGTACTTAAGTCAAAAGCAGTTTCATCCCTGATCTGTCCAACCCTAGGAAATGCATTCAAGAATCAGTGGCAAAACACACCTGCCAAGCTCTCTGCCATTTGCTCCCTAAGTGGAAAAGAAGGGAAGTGTGGCTTCCTGACTCACCTTAGTCCCTCTGAGATTTTATCTTCATTCAGAGAAATTTAAACTCCTGGTGAGGTGAGGCATGACACACATTTAAGTCTGCTGGGTATGAAAATTTCATTGTCTGAACTTCTACCTGTTCCGATTTGTAAGAAAAACTGAGCTGTGAATTTTGGGAAACTGCAGTGTTAACGGGAAGCAAACTGTCCCAACTACAGAGGAAATCGAAAGCTATGAAAACTGTGGGGAGGAGTCTTGGGCTTTTCAGCACTCCCCTCCCCAGTGCCACCCAGCACTGCCTGAGTCCGGAAGTGACCCCAATCTTCCGACATTTTTCTTTTCTTAGTGTTGGGGGAGATTACAAACTCCCTCTGTGCAGTTTCTGAGAGATTTACTAAGTTATCTTCCTATTGAAAACAGATACGCCTAGTTTCCCGCCTTGCTAAAGATCTAGGATTTGGACAGTGCTGAACAAATTCCATAAGGTGAGGCCCGCTTAGTTCTATCAAGATTAGAAAGCTCAGTAACACCCACAAGAATGCAGAGAAGATCAGTGCTGGTTCTGGCAGGGGAGAGGGGAGCAGGGCTGGTAACCAGCTGCACTCCCAGCAGCTGGATTCTGAGGCTTCACTCAGGAAGATGAACGGACATCTTTGTTCCTCTGTGACTGAGGTGTGAGGCAGGACAAATGCATTTTGATTATTAGAGACTGTAGAATAAACTTTCTAAGTGTGATGTGAATAAGAATCAGAAGACTGGCTATCTTGGCTGGAAGGTACTTGGGAACCTGATGGCTGTGGTGAGTGACTGGGTGAAAGACAACATAGTGACTTGAAATCTTACTTTGAAATAATATAAACTAATAAATTCGTCTGGATCTTGAGCTGCCATATATAGTATCATTTCAGTTTTGTAATACAAATAGTTACCTGTAGAAGAAAATTTCTGAGATTTATAAATACAGTTTGCCAAATCCACAGTGTTTTAATAATTTCATAAGCACATTTAACATTTTATTTCACTCCTCTTTACATCAGGTTGTAACACAATGTTTTAGTCACTATGAGATGTTCTGTCATCTTGAAAGTTAATTGTTTTGGGTTTTTTTTTTTTTTTTTTTTTTTTTTTGCTTGTTTTGTTTTCTAATGGTGAGATGTATGGATGAGAAAGGAGATTTAATTAGAAATAGCATTCAAATTTCAGAATTAAAGTCCAATTTTACAATATTTTAAAGGTTCTCTCTGTTCCCTGGTATAGTTCTTGTATACTTGAATAGAATATTTTGAATGTTGATTTGAAAATTGTATTATAGTAGATGAGTTTGGCAGTGTTTCACAAATATGTTGCTAAAACTTTCTAAATCTTTGCAGATGCTTCACATTGTTCATTTGGTAATTGAGGGATCATACTGCTATATCTTCACAAAGTTGTGGGTTTTCTTTGTGCCTTTTCAAACTCATAGAAGTGTGTCCTCTCACATACAGGGGATGCAAGTTATGTATGCACATGAGTGGATGTGTGCACATGTGTAAAGGCGGAGCAAAATGAAGATCAGGAAACTACTTAGTGGTGCTGTGAAGGAACATACAATAATAAGAAATATCACGCACTATTATAATTAGATATATCCATAATGAAAACTATTATTTCTTCCTAGAAAGAAAAATTGTATTATATCATATCATATCAATATAAAAATTATTTAATAACAATTTTTAGTTTAAGTTCTATTTAAAGCTATACTAATATAGGTAAACCAAGTTTTTTTAGTTATTGAGTAAAGTAATTCATTTTTCATTTTTCTACTATTAACAAATGCTTTGTTAATGACATATAAGTACATGTCATAAAATGTCATGGGAGCTATAATTCGAATGCCTTCATGAATATGTTCACTAAACTTCATGGTGTTTGCACTTTATTGTTTAAGGCAAATACACCAGTGGACTGCTAAGTTCTTTTTCTCCCTCCTCACCCACGCTGATATCCTTCCTTTCTCTCTTTGAACAGATTTTACTTTTAAAGCATAGGCACATCTGACCAAAAAAAAAAAGAAAAAAGAAAAAAAAGAAAGAAAGCCAGTAAACACTACATGAAAATTCCTCCACCGTTATTTTTTCTATTCTCTTGCTTGGCTTGGGTTCTCTGTTAGCATTTTCATTTTCAGATTTTGAATTATCTTAAATTTATATTCATCTGACCCCCATAACCTTAGAAAGTTTGCCCTTTCAATTTCTGCATGCATAATTGGGCTTAACAGAAATAGCAATTCAACTAGCTTCCTTTGAATTATAACAGGTTCTCAGAATTGGTCACTTCCAGTCACACTCTTTGTATTTTATACACTGTTCTAGGATGATGTTTTATTTGTATTTTGTATTTTGCTTCCTGTGTCTTTATTTTATAGAGTTAGTGATTATGTGGCGGTTCCCATTTATCGAATTCTCCTGCCACTTGCTTCCTCCATTGCATTCTTTTCTTCCACATTTAATATTTTTGTTCCACTTTTAATGTCAGAATAATTCTCTCATTAAAAATGGCTAACTGGCTCTTTAAAAAAATCCACATCTAATCAAGTTTGCTTTATGATCTGCTAAGCTTTAGTCTTCAGTATTCTTGGCTTTTGTCTTTGTTTTTGTTTTTGTTTTTAACTAACGCCTCCAATAACTATTTCTATGTGAATTTTGCCTTTTGAAACCACTGAGGTTCTGAATATCAGAGAATGTTTTTGAGGCTCTCCTATTTAAATGTTTGGGTTTTTTTCTAGTTTACAATACTAGTTCCAAAATTAATTCTTTACTAAAGACATTTTCAGAGTTCCTCTTTGTATCGGTGATGCTGAATATATTTTGGCACCCAGAATCTGGTAGCTGTAGATGGGTATTAATACATACATTCGTCTAAAAGCTGAAACTCCAAAACCCCTAGAAGAACATATAAGAAATACTCTCCAGGGCATCATTGTGGGCCAGAGCTTTATGAGTAGAATGTCAATAGCTCATGATTTAGCCCCACGTATCAACAGAGGGGACTATATAAATTTTGAAAGTTTCTGCACAGCAAATGAAACTATTGGCACAGCACACAGACAGCTCACAGAATGGGAGAAAATCTTTACCAGCTATACATTAGACAAGGGCTAATATCCAGAATATACAAAGAACTAAAAAAGTTAAATACTAACAAAATAAAATAAAAAATGGACCAATGAATAAAATAGACAGTTTAAAAAAAATACAAATGGCCAACAACTATGTTTCAAAGAGGTCTCTAATCACAAGGAAAATGCAACTTCTTTGAGATATCACCTCACCCAAGTCAGAATGACTATTATCAAGAAATCCAGCAACAACTACTGGAGAGGAGTGAAGAAATAGGAACACTTATTCACTGCTGCTGTGCATTAAAATTACTACAGTTGTTATAGAAAGGTTTGGAAGCTCCTCAAAAAATAAAAATGACAGCTACCATATGACTCCTATAATCTCACTCTTAGGCATTTACCCAGAAAACATTATATCTCACTATAGAATTTGTACACATTTATTATCCATCTATTCACTATTAGCAAGGAAATGGAGCCAACCTACTTATCTATCAATAGACGAATGAAGGAATATCATTCAGTTCCAAAAAATGTGAAATCACAAAATTACCAGAAAAATGGATGGAGATAAATATATGTGAGTCACATTACCCATTCATAGAAAGTAAATGAACCATGTTTTCCTTTATATGTGGACTATAGCCTGTAGTGCAAACATACGCATATGTAAACAAAAACATGATGGGGTAGAGGATGATATTTAGAATCAAGGACAAGAAAGGGCACTTTGAAATGAAAAAGAGCATATTTTTGTCTTTTTCTCCATGGTGGACATGTGTACTGTACTTTTGTAGATTGAAGTATGAGGAATCATGTCTGTATTCTGTAAGTTTCCAAGTAATATCCCTTTTGAGCAGTCATTGTGAGAGTTGGGTTTTCATTTTGATTCTCTAGGACCAAAAGAGAAATGAGAACTGGAAACAACTGACCACTGATTTGTTGGATCTGCTAAATGAAATTATATCATTACTGTTCTTAGTAACTACTTGTGTTAAAAAATAAAATAAAAATGCATGCACTGTAAGCACTGGGAACTCTACTGAGATTAGGGGTGATTACTCCAAAAATCAAAAGCAATAATATTTCAACAGCAAAACATAAGCATTCACATGTAAGTGGGATCCATAAAAATTATGTATAGTGTCTTGTCATCTAAAATGTGGTTGTCTTTTGAAGATAGTTTTGTTTTAACAAGACACAACCAAAACAAAACTTTTTAAGCTTTGGAACTATCTTTGAGGTTTTTTGGACAATTATTTTATAAAAGCAATGCTGTTTTGCTGAAAATAGTTTGACTGCTAAGATTCAGTTTTAATCTATTCCTTGATCTTTGCATATGATTTACCCTATATATGTAGGAAATACTCATTTTCCTAATATTACTCAACTTTATTGTCATGAATTTTCCTGAGAATTTCCCATTCTTCCTTTGAGATTTTTTTCAGTTTAAGGATGATTAATTTTCCTCATAAAAATAAGCAATTAACAGATTCAGAAAATGTAACGTTCCAGTTACAGAAAGGCACACGGGGGCATGACTCCTAAACTGAAAGAACAAGATGAACTGAAGCAGAACGTTGGACTCCATCCAACACTGAGTCGTCAAGGAGTTTGCAAAGTGCTATTCAGATCCAGAGCAGCAACTCGATCCTGTAGGGAAATTTGGAAGTTTGCAGAAGAAACATCTCATTTGATTCTTAGAAGAACTCATGGGAAACAGAAAAAAAAAAGTGAGAAGGGCTTCTAGGCAATGAAAAAGAAATCATGTATTTCATAGATTTTGGCAAGGTAAGGCACATGTCCACTCTGTCCAGAATATAAAAGAAATGTAAGGTAAGGATGAATATTATCTAAGCCCTTCCAGGATATTTTAAGGAACAAAAAATTTAGGATATTTGTGTGTGTTTGGCTTTTGACACAGTGTGTCACTCTGTAAACCATGCTGGCCTATAACTCACAGAGATCCTCCTGCCTCTGCTTCCCCAGTAATGGGATTAGGGGCGTGTACAACCATGCCAACTGAGCAAGGATTTTTTTTAAACAAATTGGGAAATTATTAAATAATTCCAGCAGAAGTTAAACATATCTTGTAAATAGACAACTGCATCTCTGAACAAAAATACTGATTAATGAAATCAAATCTAAAGGGGGCAAAACCAAGCAACTATTGATATAATTCTACCCAGTAGATGCTGTGAGCCTACACTGGAAAGTACATAAATATTTTGCAAAATGGCAGAAACAGCACAGAGGATGAGGATAGCAGAGTCCAACACCAGGAAGACAGGGGGCTGGTGAGACCTAGTAAGGGAAGTGCCGGGTAGACAAGGAGCTGTGCCTGAGCATGGCCAGCAGTGCTGCAATCGACAGCTTTTCCAGTATGGTGAGAACACACAGTCTGTATAGACCAAAGATGGGGAAGAGTCAGGAACTCAGAAGCAGACATCTAGGGACAAGCTCCTGACCCAAGAAACAATGGAAGAGGAACCAAGGATTTGAACGTTCATAGTCCTTACAATAAACACTGTACCATTTGATGATTTCCACACTTTCTTCTACCACAAACTTCAACTGACTAACACAATTATCATCACCAACAGGGAAAAGTTTCTTAGACCTTTTAATTAACAGAGCAGATTTACACCCATTTTCACAGTGGCGCATCTGGTGATTAAGTCTCTCTCCTACACACGGCTGTGGATGACACCAGCATGGGTATTTAGGCACACCTGGTTTTGAAGTTCTGTATGAATGTGGGTAATCCTCTGGGCCATTTTTCTTTTGTAGGCTCCTCCATAATTTGAGAGATGGTGAATGAACACAAGAAAGTAGTTCTGGAACAATTAGCAGACATTGATGGTATTAAATTTAAGATGATTAAGTCCTTACTGAACAAGGAGCTACATCTAACTGACAAAATGCAAGAAGATTATGACATAATTAAGATTGCTAACTTGTTGGAAGAAAAGTTTCCGAAGGATGCTGGAGTGAGCAAACTGCTTGAGGTGTGCAAAAATATGTCACTCCTTGAAACCCTGGCTCAAAATCTTAAGAAGAAGGCAAAAGGTAAAAGCGGTACACCCTGGACTCCCACCCTTCCATCCCCCTCCCACTCTTACCTAACACTCTCCCATGATCATAGGTGATAAGCCCCTATCCCAATGTGCTTTGGAAGTTATAGGAACAGAAGAATTCCAGATGTCAACAAACTGACAACTTAAAAAATTCTTCCTTATAAGAAATTACACGTATTTGGGGGTGGATGAATAAAGAAATCATTTGTTGAGCTAATCTAGAGTTTCTAACACGGTAAAAGCTTTTTAAAAATGACAAAGTAACATTTAAAAACAAATTTGTTTAAAACATTCAAATCAATTAATTTTAATGTGCAATTAAAAACACTACCCCATCGTTAATATTTCTACTACTGAAAATATGAGCCACTAATTAAGTAGAAGCCTGCATCTTAGAGAAGTAAAAAAGTTTCCTTTTATAAAGTCAATGGGTTTAACATTTTTAGAAAAACTGAGGTTAGTCCTAAAACTGGAGACTCCAGCATTTAGGATCAGAAGAATCAAGCAGGAAGATCTCTACTTGAGAACAGCCTCATGTTTATGCCAAATCCTGCCTCAATAATAAAAGTAAGAAAGCCCAATATCTCCATTTTGTCACCTTATACACCAAGTCCTCATTTCTTCCTCTGTTTCTCTGATTTTGAAACTATTTTCTGTAGAAAATGACCTGACATTACTATCATGTAAATTTTAGATACTTTTTTGTATTTTATTTATTTATTTTTTTACTTTATGTGTATGCATGTATTGCCTGCATGTAGGTAAGTGCACCCGTGTTGTGCAATGCCTGCGGAGGTCAGAAGAGGCTATAGGATCCCCTGAGACTAGAGTTACAGATAGTTGTAAGCTGCCATGTGAGATTCTTAAAACAGAATATAGGATAGTAAGAGGGTTGGGGCAGGGCTTGACTGATATGCATAGACATCCCCAGAATGGGAAGGCTCTGTCCTTTGTACTTGGGATGAGCAAGGAACCCCATGTGGCAGTTCCTGGGGCTGACTAGGTGCTGTTGGTCGCCTTGTGGCCAGGTGGGTTTCCTGTGGCCAAGGGAGACACGAGAGGAAACTAGACTAAATGAATTTCAACTGTCATATAATAGAACTGCATCCCTGCCCTGGGTTTATTGTATTTTCTTTACTGAAACAGCTCAAAAGAAAAAGAAAAGGAAAAGCAATACTACACAGAAAAATACCCAGCAAGGTGAACCCACTGCTTTCCAACCTGAGTCTACCAGAAATGAATCAAGCAAGGATACACCTTCATCAAAGGTAATGTGGCTAATATCCCAATCTTCTAGTAAGGTTCTTTCCCATATCAGCTTTTCAAGGACACTTAGCTCTTCATCTAGATCAAGGACCTGGTGAAAATGTGGTTCTGAGTCAGCAAATTCACAGTTGCTGGTTATTTTCCCAGTTCAGAAGTGGTATTTAGAAGCCAGAGAGAAGGCTCCGTGGTTAAGAGCGCATGTTGTCCTTGCAGAGGACCTGAGTTCAGTTTGCAGTACACATACCTGGCAGCTCACAAGTAACTCTAATTCCAGCTGCAGAGGAATCTGACACCTCTGGCCTCTGTGTCACTCATGTGTACATACTTCCCTGCCTGCAACCTACAACACACATACAAACACTTAAAAATAAAAATTTTAAAAATGTAAAAAGTAGTGTTTTACTTGTTCAATATGGTTACCAATGACGGAAACAAAGCCATTATATGTTTTTAAGACATTTACTGATATAGCAGTTAGTTTAAAGACACGGCTTTAATAGAGATTAACCATAAATATGGACTTTGTAATTCCAAGCCTACCACAACTGTATCACTACAGTGATGAATAGAGGAAAGACAGACTAGAATAAATGTTTCTACTTCTCTGTGAGATGGCCCTATGTCTACCTCTGTCCATCTGGTAGGAGGGTGATATTCGTAAGGGCATAAATATAATTAAAATGCAGTAATAAGGCAAAGATTCTCCTGGTATAAAAATATTGTGCTGCATCTGATATTGAGAAACATTACTAAGGGCTGGAGATAAAACTCCGTTGAAGACCACAGCTCATCATGCACAAGGCCGAGGGTTCGGTCTCCATCACACCAAAAAGAAAATTAAGAGTAAACAACAAACATTGTTCTTTCAGAAAAAGAAAAGTAAAACCACAGATACGGAAGGCTTGAAGAAAGAGTGTACACAGGAGCAGAATCAGCTTCCAGAACGTGCGGTAAGCAACATGTAGAAAAGAGAAGACTGTCTGCAGATTCCTCCTGTGACTCCATCAACAACACGTAGCAATTCCACATCAAGGCCAGATCTCCCTGTCCCCAATACACGTCTCTCTCTGTAGTATATCACCAGGTTAGCCATAACGCTTCTTCTTTCTCTTTCAGAAAAGAGAAAGAGCTTTCAGAAAAGCTTTCTCCTTTCAGAAAGCTTCTTCTTTCTCTGTCCCATTTTACTACATGATTAAATCACTCATTAAGTGATCAAATGCATATATGAAGACCTAGGTGGAATAGAAGTATTTTGGTATTGACAGGTATGCATTAATGAAATCATTTCTGATGTCCACAGACTACTTTCTTCTTTTTCCCAGGATAAGATGAGGGACAAACGAGCAGGGATGATTACAAGTCTCTCCATGCCCAGTTTCTCTTTAGGGCTTTTCCCTTTCCTAGTGACCAATCTTCTGACCTGACGTTCACCATTCAGTGCCCAATTCATTAGGTGTTTTGACATATGCTATATAACCCATTTTCCATCCCTAGAGAACCCACCATCCTCTGGATTTTCACTCATTACACAGCAATGGGTATATGTATAAGTCATGACACTAGTTAGGAGAGAAAGAGATCTTGAGAGGACAATTAGTGAGGATAGTGGAATCCGTGAAATAAGAAAGAGGAACTGGCAACTGACTTGTAAAATGGAGGAAACCAGCAAGAGAGGGGCCAGCAGCATAGGGAGGGTCACAGATGAGAGAAAAAATATGATGCATATATATGTGTCATGGCTAAAGTAAAAGCGTAAAATAAAAACATGTACGGGGCAGGGTTATAGTACTAGTTGGGGGAGCTGGAGGAGGAATAAAAGAATCTGTGGATGTGCCATTAGAGAAAATTAGAAAGTGAAGTTCTAAGAAAAGTATTATAAGAACACATCTAGTGTTCTGTGTGGCTTTAAAAATCATCATTCTGAGGTAAGGAAGAACCTTAGTTTTTTCACTTTGTGAATATTTCAATTATTTTATTTTTTAAGTCTTTGAAAATTTCATGCATGCAGACAACGTATCTTGATCCCCACTCTCACATCCTCCCTGTAACTTACTCTGACCCTCACAACTTCATTTCCTTTTATTATTACCCACTGAATCCAACTAACATCGCCCATGCGTGAACGGCTATGGGTTATCCACAGGAGTATGGTCTACCTACCAGTAGCCAGCCCACCAAGAAAAGTGACTCTCCCTCCCCCGGCAATGATCAGCTTTCAACATCTCCTCAGCCAGGGGTACAGCCTCAGGAGCTCTGTCCCCCTCCATGCTGGAGTTCTAAACTGGCTTGATCTTATGCCCATCTTAAGTAATTACGGCTGCTCTGAGTTCATGTGTGCAACAGTTATGTTATTTTCAGGGGACAATGTTTCAGACATTCCTCCCCATTCTTTGACTCTTACATTCTTTCTGTACACCTCTTCCACAATGTTCCCTGAGCCACGTAGGGGAGGTTTAATATGCACGTACCCATGGTGACTGAGCATTCACAGTCACTTATTCTCAGCACTTTAACAATTATGAGTCTCTGCATTAACCAGTACTCACTGCAAAAAGAGAGTTCTCTGACCAAGGTCAAGAGCAGCACAAACCTATGGTTATAAACATAAATTTTTAAAAGGTAGTTTGACAGCATGACCATTAAGCAAACCAACATCAATTAGCCAAGCATTCTGACCATGTTTATAGCACCAGGCCTGAATTCCCTCCAGTGGAGAAAGATTCAAATGCAATCAAGAGAACCGTTCATTGCCCACCCAAACAAGTTTGTCTTTATGGGCATAGCTTGCCTGGACCTTGTACTTCGGGCCCAAAACTACTGTTTAACTTTTGTAATATAATCACTAAGGACAGAAACATAAAATCATTACATGTCTTCTACAAATTTGCTTATTTAGCATTCGGTTTAGAAATATGGCTTTAGAAGAAATTAAACCTAAGCTCGCACTTTCCAATGAAAGGCCTACTACTCTTCCATAGCCACAGAATGAACGGAGGAGTGACTGTCATAAAGGTAATGCTGCTTCTCCTACATGAGGAGATCCTATGCTCCCCTCTGGACATTGTTTAAGAAGATGGTATTCCAATGTCATAAATGTGATTAGAACCTAGTAATAAAAAGTGAATTTTCTTGATATTAAACTTCTTGTGCTTTGGGGTTGGAAAGATGGCTCAGTGGTTAAGTGCACAGGCTGATCTTGTAGAAAACAAGGGTTCAAATCCCAGTACCTATATGGTGGCTAACAGTTTGTAACTCCAGTTCCAGGGGATCTGATCTCCTCTTCTGTTCTCCAAGGGCATTGCACAACAGGGATGCACTTACAGAAATGCAGGCATAGCACTGATACACATAAAATAAAAAATATTGTGCTTCATCCAATGTTAAAGAATATTACTGAGTCGTAGATAAACTTCCATAGGAGAACACAGCTTTGCCTGCAACAGGCTGGGCGTTCAGTATACAAAACAAAAAAGAAAATCAACCATTATCATGAATAAAACACAAACATTGTTCTTTCAGAAGAAGAGAAAAAAGACAATAACAACTGAAGACTTCAAGAAAACGAAGCTTACCCGGGAGCAGAATCAGCTTCCAGAACCTTCAGTAACCAATGCCCTGAAAACAGAAGACAGTCACCAGACTCCACATATGCCTTTATCTATATCACCCAGCAATTTCTTTGCCAAGGTACCATCTTCCTGTTCCCAGTATATACCTCCTCCTATAGCGTATCACCAGGCTAGCCATAACCTTGAAAAAGCCTCTTACTGATGTGCTACTCTACCCCATTGTACCATATGAATAAATCACACATACATGAAGGTCATATAAGTCTTTTGGTCTTAACAAAGTATGCATTAATGAGATCATTTCTTATGTCCACAGATCACTTTCTTTTTTTTATTTAGGTTAAGGTGTGGGGCAGACAAGCAGAGGTGGTTATAAGTCTGTCCCTTCCCTACCTTCCAGTTTCTGTTCAGGCCTTTTCTCTTTTGCCAGTGACCAAACTTCTGAGCTGATTTTCACCGTTCAGTGCCCCTCTAATCAGATGTTTTGACATATGTTGTGCCCCTGGAGTGTGATGTCATTATACCTGTCTGTTGTGTGACACTATTCTTAGAAAGAGGTAAATAAACATCTACCCACCCTAGATACGAAAACAACAGCAATCCAATGTCAGGATAACAGCAAAGTCCAACTTGGTGAAACAATGAGTTTTATAGGATTTATTTAAAGGAGTATGGTTGAGGGATTCTTACAGGAGCAGAAACGACTCAAAGACAGCTGCATCACCAAAAGCCCACCCCGACATGGATGGCAGCTAACAAATTCAGGAAATCAGGGACTTCCTGAATCTACTGAGTAGTTTATTTCTTGACCTTAACAAGCTTCCTTGCAGCATGGAATGCTTCATTTCCTTTAAAACATCCTGCTGTTCCACCTCACTCTTAGCATTCTTTATTTGTTTGCGTATGAGGCTGAACCCCTTCCCCAGAGTGGTGGTCCTCAAGGGAATCCCACTCCCCCAAAATCAGATGATGGCCTTTATAGTTTCTTCATATCATCAATGCTACTATGTTACAGGGTATTCTTTTTTTTTCATACAAAGTAAGCTAAGCTTATAGTTTTGTTAAGGGTTGGTCGTCTAGAAGATTTGCTGAGTTTGTTGCAAAGAATGAACAAAGAACTGGCTGTCTGGGAAAGGCAGAAGACCAAAGCCTGCAAAAGCAAAAGTAGCAAACAGAAGGGGTAGGGTAGCTGCCAACATGGCTTCACACGATGTTGAGAGAACCTGTTGGATTGAGGGAGAAGTAGCTGGGAACTGGCGGTCACAGGAGCCACAGGAGCTGCTTGGGAGCCCTCAACCTGAACACTGTCCCTGTAGCTTGGGCTGGATGAGTCTGACAGGGAAAACTCAGGTATAGGTGTGAAGACAAATGTGGCAGATGCCAGAGTGAGGGAGACAGATGCAGGAAGTAGAAGACTCAAAAAAGGAAAGCTTTATTGAAGTAGGCTAACAGCTTCCCTCAGGATGGGAGGGGATCCCCTGCCTGGGAATCCCACCAAGGGGCTCTGGCTCAGGCCATTTACAGGATCTCATGGCCTGCCCCTTTCTGACTCCACCTTCCTCTCCATCATTGGTCTTGCCTGGCACCGTCCCTTAGGTGGGCTCTTTTCTTCCTGAAGGCATGTATTTTACTCTGGCCTTTAGGATTTAGCAGTTGTAATATTTTCCGGGGCTTTGTAGAGGTTGCTGACCCTTAGTAGTTATGAGAATTGCAAAAAGCCATGGGGGCTTAAAGAAGGGGTAGTGGGGCAAGGCATGTGTTGGGGAGGCGGGGGCAGGATCATGAAATTAGAAATGGAATCATGAGATGAAATAAAGAGATGATGAAACAAATATGGACAGTAGTGTGATGCATGTGATAAGTACAAGAGGGGGATTTTGTGTGGCAGGAGGGAGACAGCCAGAGAGGCCAGGCAGAGGGCAAGGGCAGGCTGTGAGGGAAAACAGATGAGAAAATAGTGGAACAAAAATGCCTCTGTGAAGTCTATTACGTCATTATTAATCTGAAACTTATTTAGAATCTGAAAAGATGGTTTAGTGCTTAAGAGCATTCTCTGTTCTTGCTAAGAACCAAAGTTTGCTTCCTGGTACATGTCAGGTGGTTCACAGCCTCGTGTAGTCTGTAATTCCAACTTCAGAGACCACAAAGCCCTCTTCTGGCTTCTGTGGGGCCCTGCACACACATGCATATACCCTCACACAGACACACATGAATACAGATAAATAAAAAGAGTTTTGTAATCCTGGATGGGGTAGTTGGAGAGAAGATGGTAGGTATGTCTGGGGATGTCCCCCAACATTTCAGAGAAACTGAAGAGCAAAAGTCTTCTATGTCCTGTGTTCTGTGTGATTTTGGAAAATCATTATTTCAATAAAAGGGGTAAATCTATGTTTCCTTCAGAAACAGAAGAGCTCTATCCAAAACTTCGGTGACATAAATGGAAACATGCTCTCCCAGCTGAGCCAATTTGCAACAACTTCAGCTTTCAGCATAGATTTTGCCGAGAGTCAAGTTCAGACTCCTCCCAAACCTCCTCCAAACCCTTCCAGGCATTCTTCATCAAAGGTAGTAGCATCCTCTCTGATTCCAACAGCTTCTTCATATAAATACAATGATCATGATCCTGAAATCACTTCTCATTTAACCTCCTGCTACCGATAAGATCAGTCATTTATCAGGTATAAATTTGGAGATCCTGACAGCAATGAACAGAAGTCTAGCTATTTTCTTGTATGGCCTCATTATCTCTGAGCACTCTATATGACCAGTGTGTAATCCTTTTAAATATCAGAGAAGCATTATTTGGAATGTGAGGTCCTTGGGCACATCTAGTTATTTGTGGTCATAAATGAGGATAGTAATATAATTAGAAAGGTACATAAGCCTGGAAAAATTCGGTACTATTCATAATAATTTTGGTGTAGATTATATCATCTTCAAAAGACAATTTCCTGAGCTTTGAATATTAGAAGACTTGTACCCTGAAGGACCCAAAACATACTGAGAATCCTGTAATAGTGGACATTACAGTTATATAGAAGTGTTTTTGTACTAACTTATCTTTACTTTTGAAGCAAAATTTAACGTCTTTAAAATTTTATACCTCTTATAAGTTTAGAAAAGAGTATTAATACCCCAAAGAGTTTTGTTTGCTGATGTATAATTGTTTTTCATATCAGTAGAAGTTTTATTTTGCCAGGGTTGTAACATGATCATTTAAAAGACTTTAGCCAAAACACGTAAATGAGTGCTGACTTACATGAATGGAGGCAAGTACTCTACCAATCCCTATCCACTGAAATTTTAACTGTATGTTATGAATGTACTTCCTATGTTAGAAAGCACTGGGCCTCATTGATGAGAAGTCAGAGTTCATCCCCACCACCCACAAGTCAAATCACAGTGAGTGCTGCTGGTTTACAGCTGCCCCCTGTACTGGTACTAAGGTTTCTCAGGACTGACATCTTACTTTCTCAATCAGCTCTGCAGTGTCACCTCCATTTGAAAGTCAGGAATAGTGCAGGGTATTATGGAGGCAAGTAATAAAAGTAAAATTCCTACACGCATCTTTTCAGTCCCAGGATTCTATTCAATCCCTGCTATTATGGAAAAGGAAGAGTGTACAGCCTGAAACTATTCAAATTAACAAAAGCCTTCAGGTTCCCTTAGAGGCTTCCTAGATATAGCTAACCCTTTTGCAAGACAGCTCAGACATTTTAGAAAAGTTTTGGTAATTTGAGTTTTCAAAATGTTCACAGGTAGAAGATTCAACTACAGTGTATGAGGCCTTGGGTTCATTCCAAGGCAACATAAAATATGAATACAATCCCTTTATCTACTGTGTATGATTAAAAGCAGCTGAAATTGCTACTTAAGTCTCCATTCTTCCATGAGCTAAATTATAGCATTCCAGCTATTATTCAGATTTTCTTCACTTTCCCCATTGAAGGTGTCCCCCAGATACCCAGAAGGTGTCTGTTTTAACACTGCCTGTTTTCCCTGTGTGCATTCTATGTAGAAACCAAGGAGTGGAATCGTGCCAACAGAACCTTCTATGGAAGATGGTTTCCAGCAGGGTCCCAAACAAGTAATGGTGTTAAAAGTAACAAAACCATTTACATATGATATGATAGAAGAGAAACAGATGTTCCATGCTACTGTGGCTACTGAGACTGAATTCTTCAGGGTTAAGGTGTTTGACATAGTCCTGAGGACGAAGTTTGTTCCAAACAAGGTCATTGCCATCTCAGGTTATTTTGGGCGCAATGGGTTTCTGGAGATATACAATGACGACTGTGTGTCTGAGATGAGAAATAGCCAGATGGATATTTCAACCACACTGAAGAGAAAAGCCTGTGCAACTCCTAAAATTTCTGAACTTTTCTTAAAAAAAAATGGATTATGTGTGAATGGATCATTTCGGGTACATGAGGTAAGCTATCACTATATTCTGTACAAGTTCGGCAACCTCATTTTAAATCTTAACTTGACAGCTGCAGTGAGGTCAATTTACCGCACACAGGAATCCAAGACCTCCCTGATCTGGAGTTTTTCCTCTTGGGATGTGGGATAACTGCTTAATATTCTTGTTCTCTTGGAAACATTATAACAATTCTCTAGAAAGCCTCGCAAGTTACCTTTGGCATTTTCTGGCTATGATGATCCATTTCTAGCCTCAGACACTGTTCAGTTTATATCAACACATATATCTTTTAGCTTTTATTTCTTTTAATTCTTCCCCATTTGTATTTTTGGCAACTCAACCATGAAGAGTTGAGCCAAGCCTAAAGGAAGAATGTGCTGATGAGGGTAAGAAACCAGATGTTCTGCCCCTGATGCAGCTATGCCCAGCAAGCTAGGATTCTGATAATTTTGTCCTTAAAGTACTCTCACTTCTTCCACTTTTTAAAAAATTTTCATCAAGATCCTGTTGAGAAGGTGACTTCTGCTTTAAATAACAAAAGAAGCAAAAGTTTAACAGATCAGGGAAATATAATTCAATCTCTCAATTTATATTTGGAGAGAGTGAAAGCCAAAGACTTTGAGAAATTCTGAGACTTAGGTTGTATCTTTCAGTCCCAATACAGTATGCAAATATTGAATGCTTATCTGACTAATTACCTGTTCAAGTATGGTTTCATATTTCATTGTATATGTGTTTAAGGACAGCTTTTTATTTTTATCTGTGCTGTATTTTTTTGCAGTGTGTTTAAATGTACATGTGGTTATAGAATTAATACATAAAATAGGAAACAAACCAAAATACCAGAACTAGATGATGTGGCTTTAACACTTGAGGTATTTGGAGCAGAGTGAATAAATGTATGTATTAGGCAAACATGGTCTATTGAGTGAGAGCTTAGACTCATCTTTCTCAGACTCACAATACACCACAAGTGGCCTTTCTTCTTAGGTCTTCTGTGTGTACCTAAGAAAACTACAAAGGTAGTCAGTTGGTTTTCTGAGGATTTTTGTTTTGTTTTGTTTTGGTTCTTTTACTTAGGCTCTTTAAGGAAACAGTTATTCTGATACGTTAGCACTAGAACTTAGGAGGATACTCAATTTTTCTAGAGAAACCCACCAAATAATGACCTCAAGTAGGCAAAATTTGAAAGAGTTTTCCAAGTGAGCATTTTCTAATCAGAACATCTTAGACTATTTTGTACCCATACTTCTATTTTTTATATTAATTAATTTTGTATATTAAGGAGGAGCACATAGTACATGACTTGAATGTGGAGGTCAGAGAATAAATTCCAGGCTTGCGTTCCTCTCCTTCTAACATATGAGTCTTGGAGATCTAACTTGGGTTGTCATGCTTGACAACAAGACAAACACTCTTACCCACTGCACCATCTCACTGGCCCCTATACTTGCAATTCTAAGCCTAAGTACTGTATTTCCTTTGTCAGAGACAGTTCCTGCTGATCCCCTTTGTTTCTCATAGATGTAACAACTTTTGATAGATTTCTCAGTTTAATGTTAATTTCTTTTGAAGAAAAAAGTGAAGAATGAATGTATATATTATGGAGTACAAGATGACACAGGGATGATGGAAGTGGTGGTGTATGGACGACTGACCAAGATCATGTGTGAACCAAATGACAGTCTTAGACTATTCTGCTTTGAATTAGCCTCAAGTACAGATACATGGCAGCTAAAATCTGTGAGGCATAGTTACATGCAGGTACGTACTCTAGGTGAATACCATTCTTCCTAATAGTCTTCACTTTTGAATACTGTAGTAGACCTTAACTGTTGTTTCTGCATAGAAAATCCAACAAGTGGGAAAAAAAATTAAATTTTGCCCAGTAGTATGTAAACTCTATTTTTTAAAAAAGATATTTTTATTCACAGTAAACTAAATAAATTCAGAATGATTTTTAAGGTATTATGCCCTAAGCTAAATCATAAAAATCATCAAATTTATCGAGCAGTGAGAAAATTCAATAGGAATTTGGGTTTAATTAAGAGACGTGTTTCAAATTCTGTCTCTGTTTTCAAACTGATTAAAGACTAAAACACAAAACCCCTCAGGGTCTTTGACTATAACATGGAAATATTGTCTGCTACAGAGAGGGCCAGGGACAGAACTCCTGAGATAAGCTCCCAAGGATGCCCTGAGCAAATCAGGCAACAAATATACCACAATCTGTTTTGTTGTCACATTGACTTTGGCGTTTGTGTTGGATTCATTGAACACTAAAAGGGCTAATAATACAATGCAAACAGAAGAAATACAAAGACTTGTTTATTTCATCATGAGGAAATGCTTCTAAACTACCCTTTTTCTCAGGACCTTCAGTCAACTTTCCAAACATTCTCACAGTATAGGTGCATCAGGAAGCCCATCTCTCACTCTTCTACCCAATAATCGGAACCTTCCACTCAACCTTCCTTGCATTAGGTTAAGTTGTTCCTTCCATTCTCCTGTGGGTATGTGACATTTCATGCTCCTCAACCTGTGTTAAACCTGGGTTGAAGCTAATAGATCATTTCATAGTCCTAAGCAAGGAAGGAAATCTGACTCCAAGGCTAGAAATTCATTAAAGGAGAGAGGTAAGAGTGAGAAAAGAGCTGTGTGTTACTCATGGAAACTACTGAGTATTGAGTGAGAAGAGTATAACCAACTGAATTTCAACTGAGCCTGACTTTATCATTTTCTTCATCAAGGTCATAAAGCATAAGAAGAGAGGGACCATCAATCAACCCTGATTCCACTGTGGAAACTACCTAGAGTCCTCCTTATGGAGTCCTGGGAATCTGCTGATGATGATGGCTATGGAGATAAGAGCCAACCCCGGAAAAAAAAAAAAAAATGCATGGTTATACATATGTTGAAATTCAAACACACATAAAAGCAAGTGCTTAACTGTAAGAAATTGTATGTTTTGCTTATTCCTTGTTTCTTTTGTACTATCTGAATTCCATGTTTTATATCTAAACATCTATGGTTTGAAAAAACATATTTTATGTAAACATGTTTCAGGAGGAGTATCTATCATCCATTTGGGAGTTACTATAAACAAGTAATTGTGTGATCTGCAGATCAGACTGTGACAAAGAGGCTTCAGGTGTGATATTCAAGGACATTTTCAATAATGGTTTGTGTTCTACCCAAAGAAACCAAGCTATTAATAAGAGGCAGGTAGAAGCTGAAATCCAGCCTGGGCTGTAGCTACCAAGACTAATAATATCCTTATGGAAGGGCAAAATTCCTTCTACCCTTTTTCATGAGCAAATGTGAGTGTGATGGCTAATCCTGGGTGTCAGCTTGACTGGATATGGGATTAACGGAAATAAGAGAGATCTTCTTGATTGGATCATCTGAAGCTGGACGACACACCCTAAATGTGGGTGTTACCTTCTGATGGCAGCGGGTATAAAAGGCCATGGCAGAAGGGAGCACTTGCTTTTTGCTGTTTGCCTTTCCTCTCGCTGGTGAGTTCGTCTTGCTGCTATAGACTGAAGACGAGCCAATCTTTTGGAATTCCTCATACCTTCAGTGCTAGATTGGGACTACTGAGATATTCAGCCTTGTGGACTGAACAACAACTGGATCCTCAGCCTCTCCAGTGTGATGCAGCCATTGTTGGACTACTCAGGAGAACTCTGGATGGACACAAGAACACATGTTATAGGAGAGACCCCTGACTAATACAGTGAGTATGTTACAGAGTTTTGTTATTTGAACTAAGAATTCCCAATAGTGGGAGTAGAACCCTACCCACCCTGCTGCCATCTCCACACTCGTAGGACTAGTTTGGATTGGGCCCACTCACATACAGGATCAGCCTGGAATCACCCCTGTTCCTCCAATCAAAAATCAATACTGAGAATTTGAAAGATTGACCGACTAAGCCTTCACATTTGATCTGAAGCCAACCAAGATAGAAAAACAACAAAAACAGAACTAAAGTTCCACTCGACAAGGGAAGGCTAGTATCTCATATCAGATACACAGTTGACCAATGAAATCCATATGCTCAGATCACATAGCAAAAACACAAACAGCATGAAAAGCCAAGACAATATGTCCCCACCAAAACCCACTGGCCCTGTAGAAATGTTCTATAGTGAGAACTACCCAGAGGAACTTCAGGACACAGAACTTAAAAGAGCAATTATAAACATGATTGTATTAATACTTTTCTGTTGCTGTGATAAAACACTAAGTCCAGGGCAGCTTATAGAAGGAAGAGCTTAATTGGCTTATGGTTCCAGAGGGAGAGTCTATTATGGCAGAACAAGTGTAGTGGCAGATGCAGAAATGTGAGTGCTCATATCTTTAATCACTCACAGGAAACTGAAAAAGGAAAAGGAAGTGGAACAAGGCAATGAACTCTAAAAGCCTGCCCCAAGTAATGTACTTCCTTCTGGCCTTTGCACACACACACGGCACCTCTGCATACATACAGGCAAAACATACATACACATAAAATAAGTTTTAAAAATATTAAATAGTTGAAAGAAGACATGAGTCTCAATGAACTCAAAGAGGACAGGAATAAACCAACAAAAAAGCTCAAGGAAATACATATATAGGGCTGAATGAAATAAGACAGTTCAAGATTGAAAAGTGAATTCGGGAAGAAAAAAAGGAAATGCTGAAGAAAATTCAAGCTGAAAAGAAGATGGAATTGAAAATTTCAACCCAATTAGAAAATTCATGGGAAAGCCTTGCCCATAGATTAGCTCAAACAGGAGACAGACTACCTACACTTAAAGGAACGTATAGGAATTAAAGAAAAGAACATGGACAGATTTTTAAAACACAGGAAAAGAATATGCAGGAGCTGTGGAACACAATGAAGAGACCAAATCTATGAAGTACAGGCACAGAGGAAGGAGAAGAATCTCAGATCAATGGCATAGACCAAATCTTCAGGATTATAGAAGAAACCTTCCCTAAATTAAGGAAAGACTTTCCCATGCAGACACAAGTAGCACACAGAACAACAAATAGAAACAGAAAAGAATCTCTCTACAGTATACTATAGTAAAAAGACTAAACATCCAGAACATAGAGAAGTTATTGAAAGATGTAATAGAAAAACCACAAGTCACATATAAAAGGAAATTCATTGGAATAACAGGTGACTTTTCATTGGAAACCTCAAAAGCCAGAAGTGTATGGGGTAATGTGCTCCAAGTTCTAAAAGACCACAGGTGCCAATTACAGGTACTTTACCCAGCACAGCAAAAATGTCTGCCAAAGTTGGAGGAGAAAGGAAAACTTTCTATGACATAAACAGGCTGGAAGAATTCCTATCCACCAAGCAGCCCTACAGAGTATACTTAAAACAATACTGTGGACTGCAGAGAGTCAAACATAGTCAAGAGGCTAAAGAAAGGAAACAAATGAAGCTATAATTACTGAAACAAAAAATAAGACTAAGGCCACAAACAGAAAATCAAATGATAGTAGTTACACATCTACCAATAACAACTTTAAACATTAATGGCTTCAAATCCACACTCAAAAGATAACAGGTTAGAAGATGGGAAACAAAATCCATCTTTTAGTTGCCTATGAGAAACTCATCTTATCTTCAAGGATATAAACCACCTTAGAGTGAAAGGATGGAAAAAATATTCTGAGCAAATGGGAACAAGAGAAAACAGGCATTGCTAGCCTAATATCTGACAAATTACACTTCAGTCTAAAACTATTCAGAAGAGATAAAGGTGGACACTCCTTTCTGATCAAGGAAACGATTAATGAAGAAGACATTACAATCTTACACATGTAAGCATCAAACTCTGGCATATATAGTTTCATAAAAAGAGTGCTACTAGATTTTAAGATAGATTAATCTTAATTTAGTAATAATAGGTGATTTCAATACCACACTTTCTCCTATAGACAGGTCATCTGGACAAAAAGTAAACAAAGAGACATCGGAATTGATTTATATCATACATCAATTGTACCTAACAGATATCTACAGAATATTCCACCAGAAACCAAAGAATACACTTTCTACTCAGCAGCTCATTGAAGTTTCTCTAAATAGACAACATGCTGGGATGCAAAACAAATCTCAACAAATAAAGAAAAGTTGAAATAACTCTATGTATCCTTTCTAAATTTGTTATAATAAAACTGAAAATCAACAGCAAAAGAATCTCTAGTAATTATATGAACACACAGAGATTAAGCAACACATTTCTAATTGAGGAATGGGTCAAAGAAGAAATCAAGAAAGAATCAAAAAAATTCCTGGAATGTAATGACTTATAATATGGACATATTCTGGACAAATAATTTTTACTTAACTTTGTAACCAAAGATTTAACCTTATCTTAGCTTCTTTATAATGTAGACAAGCTCACTAAGCCTTGTGCTCCTCTTGTGACCTGGGCATATATTAATCCCTCGTGATCCTTCCTTGCCCCTGAACAAGAATACTGTAGGGTGTGTGTGTGTGTGTGTGTGTGTGTGTGTGTGTGTGTGTGTGTGTGTTACATAGCTAGGGCTGCAAAAAGTATTATGTCATTGAAGGAAATGAGAGCTTATTATCCCACCTATATTGCAAGCAATGGATGGGATTAAATTGAAAACATCTCTTTGTGATTGTGGTTGTGCTATTCTAGTTCAATAGGGGTTGAAGTAACATAGTTCTCTGACAAGAAAAGCATACATTTTTAGTTTCCCATTTCATGTTGGTTATACTATTTCAAAAAGAAAGAGAAAGCCTTTCTTTGGGAGCAGAGTTCTGAGAGAATTCTGAAGGGACGGGTTCTCAGAACCCTTTAGCCAAGGTCCCTCTTGGCTAAAATGGATGCTAAGAGTCAGGTTGTCTTTGTTTAGGACTAACTGTAATGTGGTGTTGCAGAGTAACACTGCACTAGAATTAAGTGATAAAGAAATTAAGAGAAAAAGAAAACACAAAAACAAGCTCTCAGACACATTAAAATCAGTCCTAAGAGGGAAATTTCTATCTTCAAATACCTACATTAAAATAATCAGAAAGAGGACAAATAAATGACTTAATGATATAAGTCAAGAATCTGTAAAAATGAGGAACAAAACCCAAATCCAGTAAATGGGAAGGACAATAAAAATCAGGGCAGAAATAAATGGAATAAAAACAAAGAAAATAATACAAAGAGTCAACAAATTTAAGAGTTGGTTCTTTGAAAAGATAAATAAGATTGACAGACCCTTGGCCCAATTAACTAAAAGAAAGAAAGAGCAGATGCAAATAAACAAAATCAGAGATAAACAGGGAAACACTGTGACAGACACAAAAGAAATCCAGTACATTATAAGGGAATACTTTAAAAACAACAACAACAAAAAAGTATATGCTATTCAGATAAAAAACTTCAAAAATTTATGAGTTTCTAGACTCAGCTGAACCACCAAAGTTAAATCAAGAAGAGATCAACAACTTAAACAGACCCATAACCAATAGGGAGACTTCAATAATAAAACAAAGGCTTTGAACTAGGAAAAGCCCGGATTCAGATGGATTCACAGCAGACTTCTAAAAGATCTTCAAAGAAAAACAACAGCCAATACTGCTCTTTTTTTTCATTTTATTTCTTTTTTTAGATAATTTATTGAGAATTTCATACATGCATATAATGATGTTTTGATCAAATCCATACCCACCCCCTCCCCTCCAACATTCCCCCTCTGAAGAGGTAACCATAAAATCTTTTTTGGGGGGGGTTCTTTTTGAGACAGGGCCTCCCTGTAGCCCCAGCTGTCCTAGAACTCACTATGTAGATCAGGCTGGCCTTGAACTCACAGAGCTCTGTCTGCCTCTGCCTCCCTAGTGCTGGGATTAAAGGCATGCACCACCACACCCGACTCTAAAATCTTTTAAGTATGAGATAGAAGCTTCCAAATACTTTGGACATTTTTGGCCTTTGGAGCAGAGTATGTTGCTAACAGTCCCAAGGACATTTTGACTTTTAGCAAAAAAACTCACTACTTTTCTTTGGGGTCTTTTTACCCTAACTACCTAGCCAATTCCTACCTCCTATTCTTATCATGCCATCCTCTGAAGGGGTTACCTAAATTGCCAATAGGGAATAGGGATGCAGACCACTCTGGCTTCTTCCATGCTGAACAGGGACGCAGGGTGAGGCAATTGGAGTACCCCTTCAATGGTCTATCTAAAATACTCCCAAATTGCATAACTCTTAACTCTAAGGAGAAAAGAAAGCCCTTGAATTGTAAATAGATGTGAAGGAGAAGTAAAGGCCAGAGAACTTAGTATTACAAGTTCTAGACAGGGAACTAGAAAAAAGAACAGGGCAATTTTTCATATGAGATAT